TGCTACAGGTTTGTCTACCGTGCATAAAGAGTGTGAGTGACTGATAGCCACGCTTTGGAGACGATGTTCTAATCAGCTGGTTTTCCTCTACTGGTTCTGTTCGGTCAGGCAGAGATTAAGGGGTAAGCAGTGAAGGCGATAGCTTTGATACAGGACCGCCATTGGCTGCGTGACACATTCTGTCAAGGCGGTCAGGCAGAGATTAAGGGGTAAGCAGTGAAGGCGATAGCTTTGATACAGGACCGCCATTGGCTGCGTGACACATCCACGTCTGTCAAGGTCACTAACCGCTTCTCCGATGTTCTCACCACACTCGTGCAGTGCTTCGGAGACACTCTACCCTTGACAGTGAAGCTGATTTCACTTCGGCGCCACACATGTCGGAGGTTCGCAAACACTACCCTGGCCTTCCCAATTCAGAAATTTGTTTCGTCATCAGACAGTCCACCGGCACTTACGGAGCTGTCCAGATGGACGAACTCATCTACAAAATCAATCGGTTCACCTGAAGGCATGAACTTTGGGTTTGATCTCACCCCATTTTGCGGCAGCACTTTACGGGTGCGAAGCGCGCACCGAACTATGAAGTAGAATTACTTGGGTCATTTAAAATGGCTTGCATTTCTAAAGGGACTGATTTAAGAAGAGCAATACCATCGTCGCCCTCAATGTCCGTGAGCGAACCCCCCGGTTGAATTCCAATCCCCGAGATGTTAGAGGCAGGTAAAGAAGATTCAAGCATATAATCGATTACGATGTGAAAGAGAACATCTTTGTCTAATATCAGTGGATGTGGTGAATTCAGGAGAGAATGCGCCTTGGACACGTGCATGCCTAGCATCAACCGGCGTGTTCCCGAGAGAAAGCAAATCGATACGCGTGCCCACACAACGTCGTGATCGGGGTACAATGCTGTACCCCAAAATGTCTTGTGTCTGAGCTCTCCACTGGTAATAAGTCCGTGGCTGGTTTGTAGTTGATGGCCTCGAAGGCATATAGTGTGAGTGGTTGCGCTTGCTTAAACTAGATGATATTCACCACATAGCAGAAGAGGTCGTTCACCATTGTGTGTGCATTGTGCGTTAACTCCGAACCGGATGCCAAGATAGGGGCCCAATTTGGTCAGTTAAATTGTGTAGCTTCAACCTATGCATGTGTGCTGTATGACAACACTGCACATGTACTCGCCCAGTTTTTAACACCTGCAAGGAGTTCTTGGGATTGGCTGTGCATAACCCAATTACATCCTAATGCCCATTTCATTCAAATCTCGTTGCCTTTTTTCACATTGAACAGTGGAATTCCGCTGTTTCCATTCTTGCCATATTTGTCACATCTGAACAGTAAGGGCAACGAAAGCCATCAATACTGTGCCTAATCGATCTGGATTCCTGCTTTTCCATTCCGTTGTACGGATAATTAGTTTCAAAGGATATTCAGTTGTAGGAAAAGTGAAATCCAGAGGGATTCTTCATCATTGGGGCAGTTATGTTACGATGGAGTGATGGCGTTGTGAGCTTTCAGTAGCTTCGTGACAGAAACATCTATGTTCTGAACGCTACCCTAGCGTTTCGACCGTTCTTGTTTAGGCTCGGGTACTCTGGTAGCAACTTAGTTTTGTTTTTCGCAGGTACCGTAGCAACTGTGCTTCGGAAAATGCTGCATCTGAAAGACACTTCAAATTAGCAGCAGCGGCACTCACGCATTTTATAGTTCCACTGTTCCGCTCAGTGTATCTTTTGTTTTTCGACGCTATCACTTTCCGCGAAGTTCACATTTTGGACTAGATTCAGCCCTCAGGTGTTATTCATCCGTGATTCCGCATGCACCGTCGCATCATGTGATCCGTTCTATCCGTTCTATCGCGTTGTAAGATTTTCAAATCTGAAACGATTGTACACGAACTGAATAACTCAGCTAGAATGCATAGTCCGATGGCGTACTATCGTGCCACGAGGCTGTGAAATGCTCATAAGGCCTTGTTTACGCCATGATACTTCTGGGTAGTGTTTTTCAACAACGACTTGTCACCTCATTCACAATTGCAGAATTGTCAACGGCGACTGGTTACGACAAGCAGGTTTTGCCTGACCAATGATTCGTTTGCACTAAAGCTTGGTATATGGTCAGAATCCAAATACTGAAAGGTGTCGGTGTTCGAATGACGATTAGATTAACAACAGTCACTAATTTTCCTCATAGGCGATTGACTCAGGTGTGATGCAGTTGAATTTCCTGTTGGCACCTTAGTCAAACTAATATGCGATTAAGTGTGTTTCACCACTTGCGAACAATGTGGTATTCAGTTGGAACGTAATGGTCGTGGAGCCTTGGATGCATTGTCTATCTGGTGAACCCCAGGAAGTGTGAAACTGATATTGGGTCCTCAAAGAGTTTTCAACAACCTTATGGGTAGTGGTACTGCTATTTGAAAGGTTCGACGGAGGCATCCGGTAGTTGGTTGAAGCGATTTCATTCATGCGCTGAAGTTAAAAATTCTCCAGGCACAATTGCTAAGGGAGTAGGGCGACCCGTATAATTTAACGCTTTGGGAACATGTGATCAAGAAGTAAGAGACAGAAGTGCGCTATATGCAGAAAATGAATAAAGTTATCACCACTTGTGCTGAAGAATGCAGGGAAAATATAAAAAATCATGACTCCGGCGATATGAGTGATCCACCTTGTTGCTTTTGTAACTGAGAATAGCTTTCCTGTCGGACTGAAACTTATGAAGGCTCAGTATATCCATTCACTCCCTGTTAGAAATCATGAGTGCTGAGTATCTCGCAAATCTCGCGAGGTATTAGAATCTGGGACGCTATGGGCTAAAGTTGCTGTGAGAGGGATTTTCGTTCAAATTACTGGAACCTGTGTTCTATGCAGCGTTGCGCTCTTTCTCGACGCTTTCTACTTTTGCACCCTGAATTCAACCAAATATGTTGCAGTTCTCGCTCATTTCAACGGTCTCCAAGACTACCGAGCGACTTACATGGAGCGTTCACTTTGTACGAATCATTCCTCCTTCCGAACTACTTGGTCCAGCCGAAAAGTCGTTACTTGAAGAGCCAGGCAACACGTGTCCACGTAATGTAACTCCGTGACCAGCCGTTCGTTACTGAGTGGTTGGGTGTTGGACTACTAGCCAGATGTTCATGGGCTCAGAACTCTGAGTTTCGTGGGGTGAGCACTGCCGACGATTCCCATTAAGGGTGAAACAGCTGTACGGTGCTTGGCTTTTCAGTATAGATTGGATCTACCTGCAAGACGAAATCTCCTAATGATAATGGTTCACTCACACGGATCGGATATCTACCCCCTACCAAATAACCGTTTTACGCTTCCCTCTGCTGTTTGTCTGCAATTTCGCGTGAATAATTACTGATTGAATTTGACGAACTTGTATAGCCGTAATCGGTGACTGTTATCATCACATTTTCACACCATCAGGTGTTAGAGCAACGCCATGTGTACAGCCGATCTACATACAGTTTTCGTGTTTTTTGACCTCAATGGTGCTTTTTACTCTCAATCGGTCAGTGCTGTTAACCGCACTTCCCCTAACAAGGCATTCCGGTCTCCATTTTCACATGCGCACATATATGTAGGAGAGTGACTGATGAGCTCTCCAAAAGCTTCCGCACAAAAATAGGTGACCGAAAAGGATGTCCACTCTCTCCACTCTTGTTCGTCTTCGTCGTCGGTGAAATAATATGGTGAAGATCTCAAAAATTCCAGTGTTGAAATTGTTGCTGGTGGGGACGCAGACGATATCGCCCTCATATTTGAAAACGAAAGCAAAGCCCAAGCCCTGTTGAGTAGACTGACCACCACTATACTATCTTTTGGCATGATCAAAGTGCAAAGTCATGCTTCATAACGTACAATCTCTTAACAAACCCCTTACAACTGGAGAAGAATCTTATCAGGTTGTTGCGATTTTTGCATACTTTGGTAATTGTATTGGCTCTGACATAAGTGTGTCTCAAGGGTCGCACGTACCAAGCTACGGTAAGGGCTGTGTTGTTGTATGGCTGCAAAACATGGCCTCTTTGAACAGAGAATGTGAGGCTTCTTCGAGTAATTGACCCCAAGTACCTTAGGAAACTCGCTGGTATCTCATGAACCACTCCGTGATCAGGTCATCAGAAAACGGATATTTGGTTGTGCGTCAGGTACTTCAGTCACTGGAAACATCCAACACCAACTGTGGTGGCTGAACTGTGTTCCACGCATGCCGAAACAGTGTCTGCCGAGGCAACTGTTGTCTTGTGAATCTCCTTTGTAGTGGCGCAAACGGCGAAGGGTGTGAAAGAGATTACGAAAAGTTTGGGTGTTGTTGATGTGGTTCGTCCTGTAGGACGGAGTCCTCGTGACCACTTGTGCGCTTGGCTGGAGTTATTGCAAGAAATGACGACCGATCGATATTAGTGGTGTTCGTGCTGTCAGTTTTTTTCCAAATTGATTGAGCGTTTGAAGGTGTAAGTACCTCAGAATGCTTGCGGTAGGCTAGCACAAGGTTCACTTCCCCACGCACTCTTTTCTTTTAATTCTGAGGCTTTTAATATAGTTGTGCATGGGTTTGTGGTGCCGTCTAAGCTAGTGCGTAGGTGTTTAGTTCGCATATCATTCGGGCGCATTCTTTTTGCTTGCGACGAGATTACCGTAAATGTGCGTAGGCGGAATGCACGGTTCTCCCAGCTTATCGCCGTTTGCTCCGCGGGTCGAAATTTATACCAAATAAAACGCGTGTCCTCACCACTAAAGTGCGAATAATTGATTATTTGCTACAACGTGGTGTGTGTTTTGTGGGTGTGTTTGCGGGACTCAGGCCAGGACCACCTGAGCCACCGAATTACATTTATTGACGTTCTTCTTACCTTTATTGCATGATAACACATACCTCTCCGGGTTTTCGTTGGACCCTATTTATCTGACTTTTGACTTCAATTACTGCAGTATTAGAAAACAATCACTTGATTTTTTTACCACCATTTACAGGACTAAATATTCCTTTCAATATCAACACGGTAAATATGATGATGAAAATGTTCGATCGAGACTTCAGTGGCCAAATAGAGTTCAACGAATTTGTCCATCTGGTCAACTATGTGGAACAGTGGAAAAATTGTTTCTATCGCTTTGATCGGGATCGATCCGGTAGCATCGATGCGAACGAATTTCAAATGGCCCTCCGAACCTTTCGTTACAATTTGTCCGATACCTTTGTGCAATACCTTGTTCGACGATTCGACCGAACGCATCGGAATGTGGTCGCATTTGACGATTTCATCTATGCCTGCGTCTGCTTACAGGTGAGCTTATGAGTCGGTTTTATTTCTGTTTTGAGAAACAGCCAATATCAGAGGGAAACCACTTTGAGGATGATCAACCAAACTTCTATTCCTTGAATTTTCTAGTCATTCTTGTTGTGCGGCTACCGGACTTGGGATGAAATGTTGACCAAAGGGTTATTAGCTCTAATCTACTCTGGACTTTCTTATTCCTCTTATGCTCAGAAAACCATCCACTGTTTCATAACCCGCTCCTCAGTTGAACTGGGTGAGACCTCTTCGTTGAATGAACATTTTGGTGTGGTGCGATTTTATCGAAGAGCTCATCAGAAGTGAACACTTCAGGAGTCTTGATCACCTCGGGACTGCAGTAATAACATATGTGCTTTCATTCTTTCTTCATTCTCATTTGCAGTTCAACAGCACGTCCGAAACTGCACAGTGCCCACCAGAATGTGGTGCCTGGATGTCTCATAGGGCTGGTAAATTTCATCTATCCGTGTGGACAGAAATCACTCATGTCCCAGTAGGCTCAACCATAAACCGTAGGACATAATTCCTCGTCATTTAGGATGCGATTTGGATAAGGCAAGTCTTGATCGAAAGTTTCATCGTTAACCTATGCATTTTCTGTTGCTCCTATCTATGTTGCTCAAAGTGGCATTAGCTAACCTCATGTGCTTCTTTCACGCACATGGTATCTACACACCGGAAGGATATCATCACTGAATAATTCGACTGTCTTTCATAGTTACAAACGTCAAGGTCTTTCACTACATGAGCTTGTTTAAGCAAAATGCTAACGGTAAGCTTGGGTCCCCTCACCATCTGTCTGGAGCTTTCATACAGCATATGCTCCCTTTCTAAGTGTCCCAGTGTCCGGACTAGGTTACATTGTTCTTATTTAATCCCGGTTTTCGTAGCCTTGATAGTCGTAGTTATGTGCTTAATCAATACCTTACTAAGTGGTCTAACGCCGCTGCATACATATTTCGGCACCCAGTGGTAGATTTGCACATCTTCCGCGTAGATTAGGTTGACCATATTCCGGTAATTCCTTGGTGGTCGTATATCTCCCTGAAAGCCTGCTGTCCCACAATCAATTCGTCTAGTTTCTCCCTTGTGTCATATAGTGGGGCTATGGTCCAACGGTCCATTCTCTTTAATTACCATTGTTTTTTTTTGGATTACCCGCCTCAAATTGATTAGACTGACGTTGATAACTATAAACTCTAGCCACACATGTAATCTGGCTCGACGGATAGAAACAAAGGGGTATGTAATCGATAACGTAGTAAAGGAACGTGAACAACCTAGCTACTACTCTAAGGAGAGCAACCGTCTGGGCCTCTTAATTGTGTTCAAATGATGTGGTTAGGGACACCGAAATTTTGCATGGTGGCTAAATCACGGGGGGGGGTAAATCACCGGGGGGGGGAGAACTATAGTCAGAGCTGTATCGTTCAGTTCAGCTCAGCTCTGTTCATTTCATTTCGGTTCATCGGCTGTCAGTTCCGGTAACCCGAAGCAGGAAAGCGGGGAATATATAGCCAAGCATGGGAGGCAATTGTCCAATCAGGTAGTTCGCATTGAATCAGTCTGATTACCTGAGTGAACAGGAAACTGGACAGCTGCGCATTGAAGACGACAGTTTCGATTCAGAAGCGGCACTGCCTGTGTGATTGAGCCATGTCTGCCAGTGTGAGCAATCACTGACTCATTAGGTTTAAAAGTCCCCTTCCGGGGAGGCGGAATGTTTCAGCCCGACTAAGTTTAATAGTTACTTTTTTCACACTTCGTTGTCAGATCATAGACTGTTCACCTCTGGGTGACTTCCACTCAGAACAGATCTAAGCGGAAAGATCTCTGCGAAGTAGACAGTCCACACTTGCGTACGAAGTACACGTCCTAATGGGCATATCCTATGAAGCTTGAGTAGCCCATCCATCGCGAGATAGTTTCTTCCTCCTCAAACCATCTGGCGTATCTCGGCATCACTAATTCAGATGTTCCTTCAATATCCGGTCACTGCTTCGGAGACACCGATGGTCAAATACTAACAGCTTTCATACGTCCTCAGTGCGTAGAGGCCACGTTTTTGATCCATAAAACAATATGAATCGCACTGCCACAGTGCATAATCTTCCCCTGACAGACAGTCACATCATGCCGCTGCCATAGGCGTCAGAGATTGTCAAAAGCTACACTGGCCTTCCCGATTTGATAACTCATTTTGTCAAGGGAGACAGCAATTCTCAGCGTGGTTAAACTTGCTGCCAATGGTTTCCATTGGCAGTTGCCTGACCTTCCCTGGATGGCTTCCACCGTTCGCTTGGTTGTACGGCTGTTTTAAGGCTGTCATACGGAGCGCAACCTATGTAGTCAGGTCAGTTCATCTATCGTTATTTCCTTTGGAAACCATTCGGGATACTTCAACATTACTGATCTGATGTTCTCACCAGATTCGGACAATGCTCCGAAGAAATAACGGTCAAATCGGGATACTTCAACATTACTGATCTGATGTTCTCACCAGATTCGGACAATGCTCCGAAGAAATTAACGGTCAAACACTGAACGCTTTCAAAAGTCCTGAGCACAGCCGCTAGGTTTCTGACTCGTGTGACAACATGGGGTGCACTGCAACGTTGCAAACCGTTGACAGATATGCTTATGTCACGCCTATACCATAGGTAGGGCGGGTTCACAAAAGATGCTATAACCTTCACAATTCGGATGGAATTTATAGTGTTTGGCTAGACAACTGGGACTCGTACAGTTACCCAGGTAGACAAATTTGTTTACTACCTCAGTCGGCTTATCCATTGGTGTAAGTGTAGATTTCGATCCCACCCAGTCCTGCTGCAACACTATATTTTGCGGTTCTGAAGCGGATACTGAACAGTGGAGGAGAATTATTTAATAATGTAACGTTGTTTGCATTACAACGATGTCAGATTCAAGAAGAGGTATATCGTCTGCATATTCGATATCTGTGAGCAAATGCCCTTGGAGCATTTGGACCCCACTCACATTAGAGACAGAGTAAATACTCAATAATCATATCGACGGCGGATTTGAACAGGAAGGATAAAAGAGGTCAGCCTTGTCTAGCACCACTCGATTGGGTGGATTCGGGCTTCTTATAGACCTTCGCGCGTCCTTGGGAGTTGACGTACTGCGCCTCAAGGAGGGTCAAGAATTTATGAGTGCAACTTTGCTCCACAGACGTATTCACATTGCCTGACGGTCCACAGAGTCAAAGGTAGCCTTCAATTCGATAATACTGTTTCTGGTTGCTGTAAACAGGGTTGCTTTTCTGGAATCTGCCGGAGGGTTGAGATTTGATCAATGCATTCTCGTCGATACAAAACGTAGAAGCCTTTTACCAAATTGACGTTTATCGCTCTCAGTTGATTCAACCAAATGTACAGCTCAAAGACGATTGCTTCTGGGGCCGCAATGTATTAAGACGCTTTCTGCCCTGCGCCCGAGTGCAACTTTCACGCCGTAGATATCAAGAGCCGCTGTATCAAGATCACCAGACACGCCAAATGTACTGTATCTGGGCTTTTCCTAAGTAGCTAGGGGTGCGTGGCAGTAGAAGGGTCTTGTATCCTTGTTTCACACACATCATGCATCAACAGAAAGAGAAATCAGGGTTTTAGCAAGAGACGCCTGTTCTCCAACTTCACATGCATTACAGACATTGTAGGCTGCAACGCGGTTCGGATCCCTTTTATTTTAGTAGGGAAAAGTTTTGGTTTATTTTTCTGAGCGATAGTTTAGATGCAGAAAAATGGCATATGGGGTGATTGCAGTTTGGCAGGGGAGTGTGCAGTCTTGTTCCGGTATCCGAATCATAGCTTTTAGTTCAAAAGCCTGACCAATAAAACAGTAGGGGGACCCTTTCCGGAGCCAAGGACCTGCTTGACCGCGACTGTTCGGGTTAGTCTGAGGGCACAGGGAGTAAGGCATGGATATCTCACTACTGATACTAATGCGCATAGCAACACCCTGATCGGATTGATAAAAGCTTATCATTTGTATCCAGAGCCTCATGGGGAGCCATGCGTCTGCCTCATTTATATGCCCGTGTCGTGAGTTTAATTGGCACTCGTAGCAGACTAAATAAACGTAGTCGAATTGAAATAACCGACTTTAAACGTTTTGTTCGCCATGAAGCTGATGGATACGTTGGTTATGGGAACAGTGTCCCTGATACAGCGTGATTTATAGATATTTATATGAAACATCAGGCATGAGTATGTCTGGCTATCTTAAAAAAGTGGCGCTGTCGAGCGTTTGGCACATTTTGGTCTGTAACCTTGATATTAAATGCTTGGGTGCATGCATCGTCTCTACCCTCTGAATAGCTTTTTGGTTTGGTAGTTAGCTACACGATTTCCCAAATTTAACGCTTGATGGCCTTACAGTGCAAGTCACGGGTTGATATTAGCACATGATGAGCGAAGCTCTATGGATACTTGTCACTGCACCCAATGGCTAAGGTACTTGCCAGGTGTAGCAACAAACAGCAAACTAGTGAATCGATCGGATTATATAACAGTGTTGGCTCATGTAAAGGCTTGGAATAGTCGTTCTAACACGGTTTAGCAAAACGTATTGTTTTAGGGCAGTGGTCGCTGTGGCGCGAGCACCGTACATGGAGAACATCTGCCATAGGAATGCTTCAGTTGGGGAAAATTCGAGAAACTTGTTTCACCATCAAACCATACTTTTCATGCTCCGTTAATGTCTCACTTTCCGGTCCTCCGAAGTAGTTACCAGCTAAACCAAGCACTTCTCAATGGGTAAACAAAACAACGTCTTCAGGCATACTCAAGTCCAGCAAATGGAAACAGTTATTTCACACTTGTACTTGCATCGATGTGCGCAGTGTGCACCTCGTTTATTTATTGGTGAACATATCCCACAAAAATCTTCCATTCGAGGCTAGCAGTGATGAGGTTCTGCCGGGTAACCCGTCCACCCTTCTGTTATCTCTTCACTTGAGGCTGGTCAATCATCTTCGGACACCTAATAGAGATCCATATCTTTATAGGTGTTGGGTCGCTCCGACAGCAGTGTACCTCAAGTGTTTTCTTCACTGCCTGTGGGTTGCACAGCTCAATTGTGTAGCAATCAACGTCCCTCACTTGAGTTATAAGTTGCCTGCCCAAAAAAAAACGAATCGATAACCGAGCGCGTATTCACCGCTATTTCAAACTTCTAAGCATAAAAACACGCTATCGACAGATGGGCGTGAATGCCCGATACACTATGTGACCCCAATCTACTCAGCTTATTTAAAATAGAGAAAGGTGACGCACTAGGGGTAGTACTTCACATGGTACACGACGACTCAGTCTTCTGCGGCATACTGTTGCTGTTTGTGAAACTACATGTTCAGGAATATTGTAGGTCTCTACAGCCTACATCCTTACATCTCCAGGGATTACGGTGTATAACCCGAGGTTCAAGAACAACCTACTGTAATGCGACTGCTTTAGTCCACCAAGGTCGTGTTTTTAGGTCTCGATAGTGAGTTGTATCCACTCAGTTCTAAATGTCCTCGGTTCTTAACAGTACGGCCCCCAACCTTGCATTCGAAGCTTCAAAACAAAATAAACGTATTGTGTGACATCGTTCTTCGAATACCTTTCTTCGGTAACCAGCTTGAATCATCTCTGGACTAAACAGCGCAAGAGCTAGGCACAATAATTCCACCATCCCTAAGCATCCAGGAGCGATTCTCCCTTCGTTTGCGTTATGTGCGCTCCTATCCAATGAAAGTTCACATGGTCTGTTTACTCCCAAACGTTGTTTATCCTGCACACGCAGCACTAATCGATGACCACTATTTCTTTAAGCTTTAGCGGACCGTTGGCATGCATCGTGTATGACAGTTCATCATGGCAGCTAGCTAATTATAAATTAAACGGAAAATTCACTTTTCGGGTGCGTCCTTAAGATATGAAACCTGAGAGCTCCATCAATCCGCTCTGACGGGCTACCCCTATTCAAGGTACCAAAGCAGCTATTTTACTTCCAGATTTTTACTTTTGAGTAATTTTCGATGAATCAAGCGGCCGTCGAACGTGGCCAGTCGAACGAAACTAAAGATAGCGTTTTTGACTACATTATCATCAAACGCAGACCTCTCAACCCTCCGCCACGGTACTATGTTGATGGTGGCCTTCCTATTATCAGCTTCTTCCCTTACTATTGCTATAACATCGTTTATGACGCACGCGCGATAGCTGTTGTCCCTCCAAGATACAGCCACTTCTGAAGTTCTGTCGAATCCTCCAAGCGGTTACGGAATTCAGTGTTCCCTTCGTGTATATCGCGCTATTCATTATTCGGCTACAAACCTCTGTCATTATGACACTGCTCTACTGCTACACACAATAGCAGTAGCAATAATCTGAACACTGACGGACAGCAACTTGCGTTGTGACTTTCTCATTCACCGGTGGGTCACGCCTACCCGTTTCAGCTATTTTCATTAACTGAACACCAACCGTATTCTCATCGTTTACAAAGGCGAGTCAGCGTGATAAGTCATTTGGTATATTCAGTCACACGACGTGCCTCCGTTTCGGCTTTTGTCATCTACTGCACTCACGTGTACAACGAGTGAGGGCGCAGTCGTAGTTTATTTGAGAGTCGTACGGTGGTATACGACCGAAATACAATGTTCATTATCGTTAACGATGAAATATTTGTGTATTTGTCCCGCTTCGTCGACACTACATTTTCTTTAGATCTGCATCAGCGGATAGTTTCGTGGATCTTCTCCAGTACATCGTCCTTCAATTGATCTCTTTCAATGCGAACAAAACTACGTAGCTGTGACTGGAACCACCATTGAATTATTCACTTTCTCAGGATGAATCGCTTTCGGTCCTGCAGAGATAACTTTGGAGAAACTATTACGAAACCCCTTCTGGTTCCAAAAGTTGCTGGTGTAATCATTTTTTAAAGCAAACGGCTGTCAGTGCCTTCATGAACTGGCGTAGATCTACCTGTACACGATCACATACATAGTCGGTTCGCTAACACAGCTGCTACAATCAATCTAATGACACCTGCTGACTCTTCTCAAGCTTAAATGGCCGGATCGCCAGTTGGTAACGTTAACAGTTTCGAACTTTACGTGGTTGTCGTGCTAATCGATGGCGATGAAAGTGTGGAGTTAGGTGATTTAGCTTACCGAAACCTGTTGACTTTCTCATGGTTGTTTGTTGTAAGCTTGCAAACTCATTGCCAAACTCGGCGGACATACCAACGGTCACCTGATCAGCAACCAGTAAAAGTACCTGGGCTACCAATATCTCGACATGCTACCAAATCTTTGCTTGATTGCTTTATAGGGCAGTATATATTTGCACTGCAGACCAAGGATAACTATAATGACTTATTTTAGGATTTGGATGTATATATCGGTAAAATACTTGATAAGGGGACACTCCACACCTAGGAACATCCCAGTTCTGTCGACGGTTTTATCTTACTGATGGGTTCACCGTAGTGTCTGTCCCACCTATATACCTGTCAGTGTGCTATCTGTAACATTCACTCTGACTGATTTGAAATGACGAAGACCATTGAACAGCCTGGAAATGGACTTATGAGTATACTGGCTTAGGTACTCACGAAAGCAGAGTGTTTAGCTTTGTAGAGTCAGTACGGAGGTTTTGAAATGTCTGCGCACCGTCTGTGCTGTCCGCTTGACACAGTTGGGCCTTAGTGATTCTGTCTACGCTTGGCTGAAGATGCTGTAAAATTTCGTTGTGAACCGATGTCAATAGAGTTCGTACTAGGGTGTTTAGCCCTTTTCGTTTATCCTTTTTCATTCTTTGTTAGATCCTGGTGCTGTGTGACAGTGATGCATCAGTGTTCTGCCAGTGATAGTTATGTACTGGATGGTATTCAGGAATTTGATAGAGACAATTTGAAACCGAAAGTTGCGGTGTGGCGATCCTTCGCTTCGCACTAGAAATCAATGAAACCGCTCATTGTGATATACCGTCCTCTTGAGAATAGAGGTTTGTTTCACTTCGCAGTCGCATCATACTGCTGCTTCTCTAAACTTTGAGACATTTTTTTTACCTCTACTTCAACCGCTAACTTTAGTGCCTTCGTCTCGTAGTCATTCTTAGCACCCCCATTGGGTCGTTCAATCCAGATGTTTAGTTTTTGGTGCAGCTGACTTGAGTACAGTTCAGCCCTAATGCATATGCGCCACATTCATTAACTTGTCGATATTTCCACTTTTCACTCTACAGCAATTGACAAACGCATTTCGGCCTTATGATCCTCAAGGTACCGGACGGGCAGTAATGAGCTTTGAGCAGTTCCTCGGTGCTGCGTTCACGATTGTTTGAAACGGATTCCATCCATTCGAAAGAGTCTCATTACTATTTGGAACCAACCGACTGAGTATTAGGCTACCTGTTGGACCACGGTAGCTTCTACTCCACAATGTGCTTTGAATTGCACGTCTGGATTTTTTCCTATGTCTGTCTGTTTTGCCTATTCTTTTTCCAGAGTATTTTGTTACCGTTTTCAAATGTCGACCAATTGGACTTCCAGTTTGTGCTCGCATTCGCGATCGCTTTCGCTAGTGATTGCTTGTTCGCACAACAATATTTGTTATATAAATCAGGTGTGATTATGACTTCTCAAGTCGGATTCCAAATTCTTATCGCTTTTTATGCTAGGAATTTCCGGGAACTTGATGCAGGTTCACCATCACTTTATGTTTGTTCCGCTTTTTCTTGTAAACTGGAATTTTTATCGCTCCCGAATTCCACTTCTTCCTGTGCTTTGTTGATTGTACTATTGATTGATCTTGTTTCTATACCGAATTCTATCCTGGTTTGATACAGGGTAGCCACAGTTGCTTTTTGTTCTGTTCAGTAATTTACTATCACTCGTGACGCTGGAAGGAATCTCGGGTTGCAGACACATGACACCACCAAATGTCCTATCTACCAATGCAACGAAAAAAGTGGTATGCTTGAGGATCCGGAACATACACTGGGCTACTTATTTGTGCGACTAACCAGCAAACGAATAGGTAGAAACCGTTCGGTTCAGAATTAGGATCAGTCAATAGTTTTACGGCGAAACAAAGTTACTGGTGCAGAGTTGAATGAAACCCTCCTTTTAGTTATTGTGGTTAGTTTTTTTTTGAAGTTGTGCACTAGCGGAACTCCAGTGTATAGATTTGTAACATGTGAACATGTGCTTCAGTGTTTACGGCGCCGGTGTCATCTGACACTTGTTCTTGTTGCTGTCTCTGATCGTCCAAACATCAAGTCAAAGCGATCTATTCAGACGACACTAGTGCCGTTTGTGCGGTTGGGCGAGAAGAGCCTCCGGTATCTTCAGTTTGGATCATTTTGGCATCGCAACATTCGATTTCGTGATTTCCCCTCAGCGAACTGAGTGGTCGTTCCTAATGATGATTTGCACCCCCCGAAATAGAGCTGATTGTTATAAACGGTGGCTGAAAACCCCGTAATGGACTTTTCAGTCTTTCACTTGTCATGTAGATTTTTTCGTATCCTTCGGTTCGGTACGGTCTCTTCTGTTCGATTATCCAAATACCCGGTCTGCTAAAGTGCTCCACTGAACATTTGAACGTGATGGTAAATCATTATCTGTGATTGGTGGAGTGACTGAATCATATGTATCAGTTGGGACTACATGGAGATTATGGTACCTGACTCAATCGATTACCGAAAAATGGTGAGCAAACTCAATTAGGCGCTTTTGTCATTGGTAGCGCGCAGGAAATTGGGTTGAACACTTGTGGGATTCGGACATGCATCTGTTCACTTCGTTGGTCGTCGATGGACCTATTAACTTCAGTTACTGAGAAATGAGCATTTCCCTTGGTGACGTTATCAAACCCACCAACTTTCGAAGGTTCGTCCATGGCATCCGAATTGGATCCAGTAGTTGGTTTGGTGGCAGCAACTTCGATAGAAGATGCAGGTTCAACGGATTTTTTTGATAATCACCGGAATACTGTGCACACGACAGTATACACATCATCGGTTTAGGATCCATTTGCGGTACTATCTTAAATTTTTAGGTGTAGTTGGGTTTCGAGCAAGGGAATCATTGTGACTTGGGCTGTCAAGCTAGAATAAACTCTCCGGTGAACTAGCTGAATTAATTATCCGACGAGACATCTTTAAGTCTGTGTACTATCGTGCAAAGTTATTTCATGCATCTTCGAACGATAAACTACAGATATGCTTTTTCAGGGGATAGTGTAACTGCTTCACTCTCAACTATCATGCTTCTTCACTTGATAATCAAAGCTGTATCATCGCTTTCACAAGTCCTGATAAATACTAACTCATAATCCCGATGCAGCGGTTGAAACACATTGCACCAATATGAGCGCGTCGCTTGAGAACATAAGCAGAGCGAACTTTAAAGTTAGAACCAAAACAGAGAGCCTTTCGTTGGGTTCAACACTAACGCGCTCACCTGGTGGGTGATGGGATTTCCTAGAGCACACCCATCGCATTGTTACCAAGTCTAAAACGAGTGGGTTAGGATTATGTCCATTTTTACTGTGTACTGCAATGGGACAACTCAGAACTTGTATTAGGCAGATAGAAGCTGACCAAATCCTATTACGGAGCGGTCGCAAGGATCAGCAGAGCAACTCAGGAACAAAAAGTCGAGCCTGTTTGAGTAGCGGTTTTTCAAGTAGAGGGCGCTGTACATTATATGACATGTAAGAAAAATGGTAAATTTTTGGGAAATGTCTACAAACAGTACCGTTTTCGAGACTGAAGGACAACGTCGGAATGAAGTGGAGCAAAGTCCTCAATAACATGGAACAGCTATTTCCATTTTTGGCAATGCCGATGGGAGCATTTCATGAGTAATCAAACGTTGAGCCGTCAAAACGAGACATGCTTTGCGCTTTCTGACTCTCACTATTGATGGCTAACCTCGTCAGTAGCGGTTCTAGTGTAAGTATACATTCACGCCTGTTTTATTATAATGCTGGCTGCAACAGTCTTCGAAAGCCTAGAGTAGTACTGCACTTCAACGGCACAGATGACGATAGTTTGTCGATCACCAAGTTTGTTGTCTTCCCAACACCCCTCCCCTCACTTACATATTGATACTTTCAAAAATCACGCTTCCGGCTTCGTGGTAAGTTATATTCCCTGCTTTCCGCCACCAATATGTTTGTGTGGACTAACTTTCAAGATTACTAAGTGTCTAGAGTAGAGCAAACTTACTTCAACATTTGAAAAAAATAAAGACGGAGGCAACAGAGAATATTCTTTGCTTTTGTTGGTAGTGAGGAGAAATGGGAATTTTGTGGTGATTTCGTCCTGTAAGTGAAGCCAATCTATGCTGAAGAGCCGAGAAGCACTGTACAGCTGTTTCATCCTTATTGGGAATCATCAGCAGTGCGCATCTCACGAAACTCCGAAGAGTCTCGGGCCGGTAAAAACAAGGCCTCAACTATGCGTGGTAGCCTAATCTGTTTAACTGTCATACCCACTGCTGTACTTCAGATCGCTTTACATGGCCAATTATCGTACGTGCTAGCTCCGCGTCCATGTGTGACGTTGATTAACCGGTAACCTACTCTGTGAACCTAATCTGTCGTACTCGTAACTGTACGCGTTGTCGCTTATCTTTGCTACTTATGATAAACACCGGGCCAGTTTTTATGGAACTGATGGATACGAGGCCTAAACTATGCACACATACCTAATCAAACAAACGATGGACCACATACTCGTCACTGTACGCAATATCGCCTACCTTGACTACATCCTGAAACTGCTAGTCCATTGCCTATATGCGACGCTGATTATTAGGCCTCAACTATGCACAGTGTCCTAATCTAACTGCCAGCGACGGCCCGTCATAACCATAACTGTGCGTGCGGCAGTGACAATCTAACCAGCAAGATGCACCATTCTGTGCTTCATCAAACTCATCGTTCATGTCGAAGTATCACAACCCATCTTCGCTTCCGGTATCATGTCTACGATATCAGAATAAATGAGCCGGTAAGATGCGATCCAACTGTCTCAGATAATGATAATGATCTGGCTGGAGACTGTAATGACATATTTTTCAGTGGAAATCCCCGGTTCACAGCTGAAAAATCACCATCCAACTCTCGCCTCACGGATTTTCCGACACTGACCCACACGAGCTATGGATTTAAGAAAGCCATTGTCAGACACCTGAAAACGCTTTGGTTACGCTTCTCAAACTGGCCAGGTCTCACGGCCATACAGCAGGACGGCTCGTACTGCAGCCAGATACACACGGTACTCGATATTCGCGGCTATGTCGCCTTGACACCATAGGTGTTTCAAATTAGCAAACGCGACCCGAGCATTGCAGGTTCGTGTACTGACCTCATCTGTCACACTACAATCAAAACCCATAAAACTTCGAATGTATGTAAAAGGTTGCAGCACATTACATCTCCAAACGGATCGGAAAACTACCTGTGATGTAGGCTTTGTTCCATCTCTGAGAATTCCATCGGCCAACCATCGATATCCCCATCCTCACAGAATTGTACATCCCAACCAGATCACCTCAGGAATGACGTCTGTTATGGTGCTGTCCAGAAACCTAAGTATTTCAGTGCAATGATGGCATGGCAATACTAAACCCAGTTTGATAGCACAACCGCAACTAGGCCCTTCCTTCTCTCGACTGCACCCTATTGCCCACTTTTTCTATTACCTGTCACTATGAACAAACTCACGCTTTGTTCTGACTGTAACTTCATGTTTATGCACGACGGTACGGCACCCAACTGTTAAGAATAAACATCACTGGGATAACGTGACGCTTTGTGAGTACAAAGTGCACACCAAAGGATAGGATGACTTTGGTCGGTTCATCGATTCCTCGCCACTCATACTCACATATGTCAACACCAGTTCGCATCGACCCCATACCTATTATCTGAATATAAATACCGATAATGATTTTTGAAAACTGGCAGTGTCACCTCATTGAACTAGTTGGGAAATATGACAACTTTTTACTCTCCGTTATTTGGGGCGGCATTCTAACTCATGTCAAAATACTTTCTAAGAAACGTCTTGGAAGCTTTTTCCAATTTTGAGCCCCCAACAGAGAAATCATTATTTTACTACCCCGTTTGATTAGCAGCAATGGACCAGCGTGAACCCTCGATGGACCCAAGAATATCCTAACTACAATGGCAACCCAACCAACTCATCTAAGGTGTTCATGTACGGAGCTGTCCACGAACCGGAATACGGCGTCGCGGTGATGGTACCGCGACTACCATACGCTATCTGATAGCCTGTGAACAGTTCACTATCTCTACTACTTCCGAGACGAGCTTTTTGCACACAAAACTGTTTCAGTCTGTTTAATTTGTACAAGAACATGAAAGCAGTGGTCATCATATTGTGCCTTTTGGTCCGCAAACCAAGGGCATCATCCAACGGCATCATTGTTGGCTCTGTATATCGGTGAGGAGCAAACCTTGCCTTGAGCCAGATATATGCATGCTGACCTACTCGCTGCGACGAATTCCTGGGCATCGGTTGGACGCTTGCTGCAACCACAGAATTTTTCATATCCAAGTCTCGAACGATCGCTCCAATTTGAGGTTGCGCGGACGTACTGTTCGTAAGTATTGGCTTAGTCGTTTTGAGATTATTTCCGAATCTAATACCCAAGAAAACACGTGAAGAAACAAGCTTTTCTACAAAATTTCCCACAGTTTCCCTATAGACAATACTTGGGGCCAACAAAAGCCATCAAAATAAAAATTCCGCGCCCATAGTGGAACTCGGCATGGTGGAACTCGGCATCACCCGCACTTCAACGAGTCACTGGTCTCCA